AAAAAATAAAAATTTAATTTCTTTCTTATGTACTAAATTAAAATTTTCATTTTTATAGTTCTTAAATTTTAATAATTTTTTTTACAGAATGACAGACGTCATTTTTTATTTAAATTTAAAATTTAAATTTTTTTATATTAATTATACATATTTTTATATAATTATTTCTATTTTAATTTATGATTTTTATATATTTTTTAATTGATTATACATGTATATTTAAAATGTTTATGTTAAATATTGTTTTAAAAAAATACATGTATATTTTTTTAATTGGTTATACATGTATATTTAAAATATTTATGTTAAAATTTTAATTAATTTTTTGTAAAGTATAAATTATGCCATTTCTTATTTTTTCATTTAAATTTGAAATTTGAAATTATTTTTATCGACTATAAATATATTTTTATAATTTTAAATATTTTATTGTTTAATCTATAATTTTATATTCAATTCAAATTTATTATATATATCTTTTACCACTGCATAAATATTAAATGCTGAACTCTTTTCCCACATATCAAGTTCACATAATATTCCATTTAATTTATTTCCAAATTTTGAATTTATTTTATAATATAAATAATTTTTTTATTTTACTATATTTTTTTAATGATTTTGTTTTTTTATGCAGTATTAATAGGGCTAACAATTATCCATGCAAAAAATAGTGGGATATACAACAAAAGAAAAATAGAGATCTTTTTATTCATAATATATAACAAAAGAAAAGTAGTGGAACATTAAATAAGTTGTCTGCCAAAAAAAAAAATTCAAAAATTTTTCCACCATTACAAAGTTAAAAATTCAAATTTAAACATAAATTTGAAATTTAGAAGAGTTAAGTTATTATTAATTTGGAAATTTCAATGTAGAATGCCGTGGGACATTGAATTAGTTGTCTACCACCAAAAATTGTTCACATAATTTTTCATTTAATTTATTTCCAAATTTCGAATTTATTTTACAATATAAATAATTTTTTTTATTTTACAATATTTTTTTAATGTTTTTGTTTTTTTATGCAACATTAGCCGGGCTAACAATTACCCATGAAAAAAATAGTGGGATATACAACAACAAAAAAGTAGATTTTTACTCATAATATACAACAAAAGAAAAGTAGTGGGACATTGAATGAGTTGTCTAATAATAAAATTTTTCCAAAAGTTTTCCCACATTACAAAGTTAAAAATTCAAATTCCAAATTCAAATTTAAACATAAATTCAAAATTTAGAAGAGTTGAGTTATTATTATTTTGGAAATTTCAATGTAGAATGCAGTGAGACATTGAATGAGTTGTCTCCCACCAAAAATTGTTCACATAATTTTCCATTTATTTTATTTCCAAATTTCGAATTTATTTTACAATATAATTTTGTTATTTTACAATATTTTTTTAATGTTTTTATTTTTTTAATGTTTTTATTTTTTTAATGCAGCATTAATAGAGCTAACAATTATCCATTCAAAAAAATAGTGGGATATACAACAAAAGAAAAGTAGAGGTCTTTTCTACTCATAGTATACAACAAAAGAAAAATAGTGAGATATTAAATGAGTTGTCTGCCACAAAAGTTTTTCCACCATTACAAAGTTAAAAATTCAAATTCAAAATTTAAACATAAATTCAAAATTTAGAAGAGTTGAGTTATTATTAATTTGGAAATTCCAATGTCAAATGCAGTGGGACATTGAATGAGTTGTCTGCCACAAAAAATTACTCACATAATTTTTCATTAATTTATTTCCAAATTTCGAATTTATTTTACAATATAATAATTTTGTTATTTTACAATGTTTTTTTTAATGTTTTTTTTATGCAACATTAATAGGGCTAACAATCACCCATGAAAAAAAATAGTGGGATATACAACAAAAAATAAGTAGAGATATTTTTTACTCATAATATATAACAAAAGAAAAGTAGTGGACATTAAATGAGCTGTCTGCCACCAAAAAAATTCCAAAAGTTTTCCCATCATTACAAAGTTAAAAATTCAAATTCAAAATTCAAATTTAAACATAAATTCAAAATTTAGAAAAGTTGAGTTATTATTATTTTGAAAATTCCAATGTAGAATGCAGTGGGACATTGAATTAGTTGTCTGCCACCAAAAATTATTCACATAATTTTTCATTTAATTTATTTCCAAATTTCAAATTTATTTTACAATATAAATAATTTTGTTATTTTACAATATTATTTAATGTTTTTGTTTTTTTTATGCAACATTAATAGGGCTAACAATTACCCCTGAAAAAATGGACAGATATAACATCATAGAAAAAAAAAAAGAAATTTCATAATATACACTTTAATTAATGTTAAATTCGTTAATGTATTTTTTACACTTTCATTTACAATCCTTAGTACTACTATAGCCCTTGAAAATTGGTATTTCTCTGTTTATTTGTTATTAAAAAATGCAGTGTGATAAGAAGCTAAACAAAATGTCACATAAACAAAAAGAAACTGCAATATCGAATTATAAAATACAACAAATTTCTGGAAAAACATGTTTCTGAAACACAAAATATGCTTCTTCGGTCAGAATTGCTCCCTTCACTGCGAGTTTGTATACGCTTCTGCATCAAACCTATTTAAAAAGATGTAACAAAATAAAAAAAATCAGTAATTTGAATCTGCGTCAATAAATGAAATGGTTTTGACATCATTTGCAGGAAAAAAAATAAAAAATACCCCAACAAAGATGACAACAACGAACCCTTTTATTTTCTTATGAATCAAAATGGAAATATAAATTAGAAACTACATAACTCTTTTTCAAGCTTTATTTTTTTCGATGTTAGGACAACTGAACAATTAAATTCCTCAACATTAGTATCATGAGAATTCATCACCATCATTGGTGTCATCAAAGTTAGACAAATATCACCAACATCAGCACTATCACAGGTCAAAATAAAAAGATTACGTTAAGTACACATGTTAGACAACGAAGTAATCAAACATATTATTGATAACATCTCATTTAAATTCAAATGATGGATTACCTCAGCCTTTTCTGGTTCTGATGATACAATTTCATTTTCTTGAGCATTATCGAAAGTTGTTTCATCCTGTAATAAATAACAACCAACAACAGTCATTTCAATGAATAAAAACGGACATCTCATACGAATCAATCAACATATTACATTTGGGTCGACTAGAGACTTAAGGAATGCTATGATTATTTCACTTGCTGATACAAATTTTATAAAATACACCTCTCCATCACAGATTTTTTTCAGACCTGCAAAGATCCTTTGACAGCAGCATGGATCCTTCCACCCTACAAAAAAAGTGAAAGCCAAAATTCAAGCAACAAATACGAAAATCATAACAACAGACACAAAAATTTAAAATCGCAACACAGACGAAATCACAACAGAGACGAAAAAATTTAAAACATTAAAAAAACAATCAACACTACCCGTTCATCCAACAGAACCATCTCAACATTGTCGTCAAAATCCTTACGCTGAAAGTTAGGAACCTTCCAAGATCGAACCACCTTAACCTTAATCCTCCAGTCCTCCTTGGTAGGATTAAGATCCTTTATAAAATCATATGTTGAAAACATTTCGCTTGGGAGGACGAAAAAAGAAGAAAAGAAAGAAGCTATTCGTCTAAAAGAAACAGTCAGCAAGAATGGAATACCTGAGGGAAGAACGAAATATCAACTGCGACGGATCCTCAACATCATCACCGAACAAATCAAAAGGGTTCATCGTCGCCATTTCCAAACACAACCACCGACACAAAACCTCAACCAAACCACTCGTTCCTCTTCTTAACAGACACACACAAAAAACCTTAACTCCACAACGACTCCATCATGTCAAAAAAATTAAAAAAAAACACACAAGAGAGGGATTCGCACGAACGAAGAGAATGAAAACGATGAAGGGTAAGTAAGGGAGTGAAGAAGAATGAAAGGAAAAATCCTAGCCGCAACAGGAGAGAGAAAAGAGAAATAGACAGAACAATATTCCATTCCAACGTTCATTCTTATAGATGCACGCAACAAAAGAAAAGTAATCAGAGATTAAATGAGCTGTCTGCCACCTAAAACTTTCCAAATCTCTTCCCACCATCCATTTTTTAAATTCAAAATTTGAAATCATTTCAAAATTCGAATTTTAAATCAGCTGAGCAATTCCAACGTAGAAAACAATTAAAAGGGCTGAGTAATTCCAATGTGAACAGCAGTGGGACATTCAATGACTTGTCTGCCACCACAAATGAATTTTTTTTTCGATTTTAAAAAGAATTTGGATTTTTAAAAGAAATACTTTTTCCAATTTACCAAAGAAGGAAAGTTTTCAGATGCCATGTAGTGTGAACACAAATCTCAGAATTAAGCAGGGAGTGGCACATCAGTTGACTTTCCAATAATTGGGTTTCCTTTATATATATATATATATATATATATATATATATATATATATATATATATATATATATATATATATATATTTATACCTCCTATATATAATTAATTTAAAATAACTATATAATTTAATAATTGATATTTACTTATAGGAAAAAGTGTATGTCCTTTTAAATGATACAACTTGTGTCATTTTACTCTCACAAAAAAGTTGGACCCACACATTTTTTTTGTCCACTCTCTCCCCATGATTTATCTGTTTCTTTCACTTAAAATGACACAACTTTACGTCCTTTAAGATGATACACATTTTTTTCTTACTTATATTTTAAGTAACATTTTATATTGTTACGGCAAAAATTAACATTGTATCTCAAAAAAAAGTTACATGATAAATGATTAAAAAAAAAAGGTTACATGATAAACAATTAGTCGTGTCTGTGTGTGTATGGAGAGAAAAAATCATGTGATTATCAATTGTTGATAAATTATAGTTTTTACATCTAACAAGATCAATCACATGCATGGGTGTCTATATAGATTGTGTCATAATTGATGAAACTCTGGATACAGGCTATCGGTAAAAGAACAAGAAAATGCAGGTATGGTTCATATACAGCCACCATTTCAGAGCATGGATCATCATTCATTTCTAACTTCTGTACGCCAACTAAAATTGATTTAAATCGTTAAATACACAACTTATAAATCAATAATTTTGAGTTATGAGTATCTAGAGAAGTCTCGATAGTCGATATCTAACACTTGAAATCCAATTCTTAAGTTATTGTTAATCTTAGAAGTATTTCCATTTTTCAGGGAAACTCACGAAAGCATGTGAAAATAGATAACACCAGCAACCAGCCCATTAAAACAGAGATGGGGAATGAATCATATGCAATGAAAGGAGGAGAGGGTCCTCACAGCTATGCTCAAAACTCCTACTTTCAGGTATATTAATTGGCTATTATATATATGCAGATAACACCTTGCTTCATGTTCATCTTATTCTTCTCTCACCAATAACTTTAAGCATGGATAAAGATGGTGACAAAATGGCATGCACTCATATGCTTTATTGTCATTTGGCTATGCATCAATTTGCTAATTTGTATACAGTTATAGCTATATAATGGTTTTTGCTGAGAGCTATAATTGAAGTTCGTAAAAAGTTGATCCAGGACCAGGAGGCAATAGCCAAAAGCTTTTATCCCAGAGCCTATGATGCACACACAAGCTCAATTTGTTTAGCAGACATGGGTTGCTCTACAGGACCAAATACATTTCTTGCCATGCAAATTATAATAGATGCAATAGAGCACCAATTTCAATCACATGGTCTTGCTGCTCAAAGTTCAAAACTCCAATTTTTCTTTAATGACCAAGCCACAAAGGATTTCAACACAGTCTTCAAAAATCTTCCACCGAATAGGAAGTATTTTGCAGTTGGTGTGCCTGGCTCTTTTCGTGGACGCTTATTTCCAAAGGAAACACTTCATATGGTCCATTCTTCTTCATCTCTATGCTGGCTCTCTACAGTGCCCAAAGAAATTACAGATAGAACTTATAGTGCATGGAACAAAGGGAGGATTCATTGTACAAATGCTCCCAAGGAGGTTGCAGAAGCCTATGCAACCCAGTATAAAATGGACTTGGAAAATTTCCTCAATGCTAGAACACAAGAACTTGTGGAAAATGGACTAATGATATTTCAAATTCTTGTAGTACCAGACGTGGTTCTTGATTCAGAAGTAAACCCTAAAAGAGCTTTCGAACTTTTGGGATCTTGCCTGGTGGACATAACCAAAGGGGTAAGAAACCTATTGGCTTTTTCTGTCTTAAATAGGTTATGAATGAAACTAATTAATGAATGACTTTTTCTATTTTTGCACGAGAGTTTATTTCTTGTTCCCCATTAATCAAGAAATTTGGATTAAATAGGCTTTTGCATTAGAATTAGCATGTATAACCACAAAGATATTCAATGCTTACCAAATCTTAAATTTGGATTATTCTACTTAAACCTCATGGCTGGCTTTAATGCAGGGACAGATTGGTGAAGAAAAAGTGGCCGGACTCTTTCAATGTGCCTTTCTTTTACTCAACTGCTAAGAATGTGAAGGCAATTCTAGAAACAAATGGTAGTTTCTGTATAGAGTGGATGGAAACATTAGATATCAAAGATATTTTTGCATTCCCAAGTGCACATATTTTTGTTTCCACGAACAGAGCAGCGCTGGAAGAGTTAATTGAGAAGCATTTTGGTGGAGGAATTATGGAAGAGGTTTATGATCGCTGCACTAAGAAAGTTAAGGAATTTCCATATATCATGAATTCGAAGAATCTAAAAATAATCATGATGTATGCTATTCTCAAGCCCAAGTCAAAAGCATAGGTAGCTAGGGCCTAGAGCCTACGCGTTCAGGCTTCTTTTCAGCAACAATGTGTTGTTCATCAACCAATAAACTTAATATAATGAAATTGTTACATACAAATGGAAATTTGATAGAAAGGCTGATCTTAAATAGAATTACAAGGAAGCCCCATTTTTAGCACAAATGTCTTTTGCGATAAATTTTCTAAGAGTAAATATCATTTTCGATCCTCAGCAAATTTCACGATGTCCGCTTTAGTCTCTAGCAAATAAAAAGGCTATTTGTGGTCCCTAAGAAATTCAAAATGGATCCATTTTAGTCCTTTTGAGGGACTAATGTGGGTCTCTTTTGAATTTTTGAGGGACTACGATTTCGACTAAATAGGTCCATTTGAATTTCATAGGGACCACGAATAGCCTTTTTATTTGCTAGGGACTAAAGTGGGCATCGTAAAATTTGCTGAGGACCAAAAATGGTATTTACTCATTTTCTAATTTGATACTTTTATTCATTTATCTAAAAGTTTAAATAGATAATGAAAATACTAACAATTACAAATAGAAACAACATCTGCATTAACTGCTCCACTACTAACAGTCACAAGGTTATATCTGATCCAATTCTCCCATATTTCTAAAGATGGGTCAAATAACAACACTTTATTGACAATAATAATTTAAAATAAATTAATAAAATAACAAAAATAAAAATAATAACATTCCCTCCCTCTAAAATTACTCTTGTCCTCAAGAGTAAGTTCAATATGAAGTAATTGAATCATCTTCAATATCCATGTCCGTCTTGTCGCCGTTCTCTTCTATTACCACTTAGATGGTGAACAATCAATGCACATTACAACGGATATCTCTTTGAAGGTCAAACGACAAACAAGAGTCGAGCCGGTGGAGAAGGTGTCAACGCCAGAAGTTTCAACACCGCTGGTGGGAGAGGATAAAGACGAACCTTTAGTGTTGCTGGCTATTATGGTCCGTCACACATTCTGAGTAAGAAGGATGGACTTTTGATTGTGGGCCTCGTATAGTTTTGCCAGCCCAATAGCAGATGAGAGGGTATTGGGCCTATTAGCCTGCACATCAGTCCAAATGGATTTCTTTAAGTCACTAATAAAACAACTAATCTGATTTGGAACCTCCAACCTATCATGATTAGAGTTATTGACATTACTCCCAGATGAATGATTAGTCTTCTGTCCGATAGGAGTCACAACAGCCAGTACGTCCAATCAGTGGGTGATTTGGGCCAACATCTCTTGGAATTGTTTCATAAAAGATTCTATCTTTTCTACTCTCTCCTTCATGCATGGTGTTTGTGTCTGACTCTGATACCAAACTGTTACGTATAAATAAATTAAAAAATTGAAATTTGATTTTATTGAGAAAGCCTAACCTCAAATAGAATTATGGCTTTATTGAAGAAGTCTGACCTCTTGTACAAGTGCCTTTTAGGATAAAAATTTTAAAAAGAAAATACCATTTTTGGTCCTCAGCAAATTTTACGATGCCCGCTTTAGTCCCTAGCAAATAAAAAGGCTATTCGTGGTCCATAAGAAATTCAAAATGGACCCATTTAGTTGAAATCGTGATCTCTCACAAATTCAAAAAAGACCCACATTAGTCCTTCAAAGGGACTAAAATGGGTCCATTTTGAATTTCGTAGGGACCACAAATAGACTTTTTATTTGCTAGGGACTAAAACAGGCATCGTAAAATTTGTTGAGGACCGAAAATGGTATTTACTCAAATTTTAATCTAATACTTTTATTTATTTCATCGAAAGTTTAAATAGATAATGAAAATTGAAAACATTAACAAATAACAATAGGGTTTATCATCTATCATTTAACATGACCACAAAAAGTTTCCTACACACACAACATTTTGTGGGGTCCGCAGCAAAAAAAAAAAAACTTCGGCACGCAAAACGAATCTCTATAACATAACACAATCATTTTTCCTACAACATAACTCTTATAAAACCCATAACAATAACCCCTATATTAATTGTTTTGCTACTAATAGTCAGAAGATTCTATCTGATCCACTTCTCCCGTATTCCTAACAATTGGGTCAAATAATAACTCTTTATTGACAACAACAATTTAAAATAAATTAGTAAAATAGAAAAAATAAAAAAACCGTAACAGAAATATATATACTTAATTTTCTTTTGGCTAATTTGGTAAATCAGTTTGCTTCTTGTCATCTCAACCTTTTATTTTGATGAATGCTATGCCAGATATAAACAACTATACTTGGATCTTTCTTGGGTAAGAGATCACAGGTTACGTCCACTAGCTGTTTTACCGTAATAGTACAAATTAAAAAAATAAAAGCATTGCATATTGGGCTAACTATCATTTTTTCCCCCACGAAATAACATCCCCACCCTTTATTTTAATTGATCGAACAAGTTGGCGGTTTCGGCATAAAATGTCTGTATTCTAAGTAATTGCTTCAATGCGCACGTCATGTATTTATTATTATTAATTTTTTTTTCATGACTTTTACGTCTTTTAACATGGCACTAAATGAAGTCCCTATTAATATGTATGCCATTAGCTTCTTCTTGCATCATCCAGAAACTCAGATTCCTCAAACTCATACTTGCTCCTGTTTGACGAAACACTTCTTAGACATTGAAGGGTTAGCAGTCTTCTCTTTGAATTTTATTTATTTATTTATTTATTCCTTGCTTTTAGGTCTGATAAAGATTGTTTGAAGCATGCAGATACATATAGCACCCCTTTACAGCAAGATGGAGAATGAATTTGTTAAGGCATTTTCTGATTCATTCGCTATGAAGGGAGGAGAGGGCCCTCACAGTTATGCCCAAAATTCAAACCCTCAGGTATATCTATATCTTACTCGTACACTTTCTCTAATTTCATTTAATTAGCATACAATGCCACTATACACGGTAACATATAACTTAAAATATATTGATCTGCTTTATGCATTGGTCCACATCATAATTAATTTGCAAATAAAAAAGTTAAATTTTGTTTCCAACCCAAGTGCTGGTAGAGTTTCATTCTTCATTAGACCAGCAAAGATTTTCAGCAGATTAATTATTGTTTTACCTTCTTCTTTTTTGTATTACATGATATAAATTATCTCATAAAATGAGAAACAATATTCTCTTTTATTGAGTGGTGTTTCTTCACTAATGATGGAGTACACCTTATTAAATATGGTGCAGGGCTCAAGGCTGCCCAACCACCTCATCATTTTGGAAGATTTTGGAAGAGTTCTAGTACCTCTTCACCTTATATAAATCCCTTGAAATAATTTGTAATAGGTTGGATTTTGTTAGAGAATAATTCTACTACCTCTAAAAAAGAAGTTTGAATGTTACACCTCTTTAGGAAAGGCTTAAATATCACCATTGTTGGTGAAGTTTGATTGTACGTTTAGTGAAAGACTAGAAAAATTTGACTCTTGTAATTTTTCTATTTGACATAGTGAAAGATTTTCTAAACTAATATCCCGTAATTTTTACTTCTTCACGTTGAAATAGGTTTTTCACATTAAAATTTGACTATATTTTTCTTTATCTCTCTCCTCGACACAATTTTATTTTCTGCTATGTGTTGGTGTTGGTCAACCTAGTGACTCCATACCGATCTTTGATTGACGAACTCTTAAATTTGAGCTCCGATTTATAACTTAGCTTTCGTGCTATATATGTGAGGGACCGACTTGTCCCCACACTTTTATTTTATACTTAGATCTTTATAACTTAACATAAAGTTTTTGTTTGACTCAAAAAGTATAATTTGTTGAGCTAATAAATTATCGATTTTTGTCAATTTGATATCGGTTGAGCTGATTTATCACTGGTTATAGTCGTATAGACTCTCCTGATTTTATGGGCTGATGGGATCAAAGACAAGATCCCACTCCATCCGCTTTTGGATCAAATGGAATCTTCAAGTGCAGTTTCTCTCACTTCAAATACTAATTAATTGAAAATATTAATTAATATATTAATAAGATTATTAATTATTTTATTAATGATTCTGAATCAATACTAATAAGTAATAACTAATTAATTATTAATGGAAATCATACGTAATAATGTATTAATAATTATTTAATCTTTATAAATTCTTAATAATTAAAAAATAAAAAAATGTTGCTGGGTCCCCTGACTACAGATAATAATTTTCAATCAACCTATTCTGCTAAATTTTGGCTAGCTAGTTGAAACTTAGGTTAGACAAACAGCCCAAGTTTGACTCATATATTAGGTGGGTCAAATTTAATTTAACGATATATTATATTTTAAAATTTATAATTTTTAAATTAAACCAATATTTTTTAAATTACATTGATAATAATTATATTTATACTACCTTTCTTAATATATATATATATATATATATATATATATATATATATATATATATGGAGTAAACATTTGAACAGTCACTTTAGATAAGGTTATCTACAACCATCATTTTTAACTATATTCTCACGGGAGAACATAGTTATAATATTAAAGTTGCTTTTTTTTCTCTCTCCTCAGTTACTTTTCAGAACTTGTTTGCTGACGTGGAGAAAGAGAAAAAAACAACTTTAATGTTATAACTATGTTCTCCCGAGAGAACATAGTTAAAATTGATGGCTGTAAAAATACTTTTGCCATATATATATATATATATATATATATATATATATATATATATATATATATATATATATAACAGCTGAACAAGTTCTAGACTTTCATTTCTCATCCTACAATCATGCATGCTTCTAACACATGTTAAAATGTTAACATAAAGCTCAGATAAATAACAGATAATTTAGATCTATCCCATATATATATATATATATATATATATATATATATATATATATATGGGAAAAACATTTCTCAATCTGCTTGAGATAAGTTTATCTCCGGTCACCCCAAAACTACGTCGTTTTGATTATTTATTTTCTTATATTTATTGATTCACCTTTGAATGGTTATGATTCCCTGTTTCTCTCTCTTC